CGAAATTACACGATAATGTTGGTTATCCAGCTTGGTAACCTATCATAAACGGGAGCAAAATACTAGTTAGACTAGTTCCATTGTTTTAAGTGGACACTTGGAGCCACAACTGAATAATTATATTTACAGTAAACATCTTTCCAGAAAGTCAAGGAAAAGTTATGTAAGGGCGACGTGTCCTGGACAGTGAGCCAAAGCTGATTGACAACACTGTGAACATACTCCGGTAGGTTCTTAAGGTAATTATATCGGTTGATAAACAGATTAACAGTTACGATGTTGGGTGGCGTCATGCGGGTGGAGAGTAGTACCCTGGTTTACAAGATAAATAAAGACAGTTCAGATGGCAGTGCTTAAGCAAAAATAAATAAATAAAATAGATGTGTGGGGAGATAATTCTGCCATATGCTATTGTGGCACCTCAGCTGCCCTCTTCATGCTAACGGGCTAACAGTTCGCCTTATCCCCGGTTGAGAAGCCGGCGGGAGATAAGTGAGCTGCAAAAACCGACACCCACCTTGGTTACAAAAGAAGCTCCACAGTTTGGCGAGTATGAGGCCCATTGTTAGGGATAAATGCCGATGTCCGTCCCTCTGTGGATAGAGCGACTTTCTCCACTCTGTGGTCCGCACCGTGCAGTCCGCGGCTGGCTGCTTCTAGCTAACACTAGCTCAAAGAGCTCTGGTCTACAAAACACCTCAGCGACCTTTTCAATGCAAACTCCATCTAAAACATCTAAGCCATGAAGCTAAAACCAGATCTAAAACAATACCGGGATGCGTTATTATGGTGTAGGTGTAAGTAAAGCCTAAAGCCCCCACAAGAAGTACAAATAATCCCTGTGTGTACAGAGCAGCTGTGTAGTCCCCGTGAGTATCTACTCCTCTCTTCTTCTGCCCGTTAGCTGCCAGTTGTCCGGTGAAAAAAGCAATCCCGACTGCTCAGTTATCTTCCGGTTACGTGATGACGTTTACGCATCGTGGCATGTTTGTCTTTTAAATCTCCAGTTTCTGCTTCTTCTTCTTCTTTTTTTAGGAATAGTTCTTATCAATGAAGCCAAGCCGCTAACACTTCAGTTCCACCTTTATTTGCTTCTAAATTATATTGCCTATAACTATAAAATTCCTAAGGAAAAGGAGTTTAGCCAACATTTAAAACAAAAAGTTTTATGTTTAAATGTCATAATTTTAAATGTTTTACTATTTTGATAAAGTTTTTACTTGTTATGTTTTTATAAATACATTTTTATGCAACTTTGATGGATATATTATTTTATAACTTGCTTTACTGTTTAAACACAACAAAAAAGACAAAGATTTATGCACACACACAC